ATCATTTGGGTTGAGAAACCATGACAGAGCATAGACCTGCTCTGACTGTGGGGTGCTGAACCGGATGGATAAAGTACCCATTCGTTATGAGATTTTCGTTATTTTTGTTTAGATTCCTTTCGCATTAAATTGCATATGAATAAGAAAGGGATCAGTTTTCATCCAATGCTTCACTTGAGATGGTCAATTTTTTAGCTCCACTACCCAGTATGCAAAATAAACAGAAAAACCATTACGTTTATTTGGCAGTTTGGGCCGAGCCCCCGGCACCTTATTACATATGATTACACTACCGTACCATACAGAGCCGGGAACTTTGACAACGTTGTAGCATGTTACAACTTTAGTTCTTACAGTTCTATGCGAGTGAAAAGAGTAACACTGTAAAAGAAAGAGTAGTGCTAAGCGACAGAAATAGTTATTGCCTCAACGAAGGCTAGAAAAAAAAACCTGCCGGAAAAATCCTCTAGGAACCATGGCTCACGCTCTGAATAACCGAAGGCCACACTGCTAAAACAGAAATGAAAGCATTTACTACTACGTACACTATGGTCTAGAGTGGTCTCTCACGTGACAAACCTGTCTTACCTAACTCTCATCATATCCCATGATGCACTGACCAGGCACGGTCCTTACTGCTCTCGTGCCGCAGAAATATTTAATTTCCGGCCGATTCAAATTCAACGCCGGAAATGACCATATCATCCCAATAGAGTAAATAGATCCCTTTTTGTTGGGTGGTGACACTTCCAAGTGTTCTAAGCCACAGTCGGACAGAAGCTTTTGAAGTTTAGGTTCAATTTCGTGTCCTGTTAAATTTTTCCGACAAAGGAACGGCTCAATTAAGGCTAGGTAGTCCCGAGGTAGATCATAGCATATTGACTGGTCAGTATTTTGTCATACGGACCGTCTCCACGGAAACGGTAATAAGCCGTGTATTTTTGTTTTCGAAAGCCAGCAAATTTAGTAAACAACTTTGGTCCGAATGCTTGCTCTAGCCGTTCTGGGGGAATATTGGCCCTCGGTCGTTTTTGT